ACAGTCGAACCGAACGGTTCGGACGGTTTTCATAAACCGTTCCATCCCTTATATATATAGCAAGAAGGTTTTGATTCTCGGCCCGGGGTCTTTCTGCATGGAGTTAGCATGTTCTCCCTGAGCATGCGTGGGTTCTCTCCGGGTACTCTAGCTTCCTCCCACAGTCCAAAGCATGACTGTTAGGTTAATTGACTTCTCTAAATTCTCCTTAGGTGTGAGTGTGTGCGTGAACGGTTGTTTGTCTCTGTGTTGCCCTTCGATTGACTGGAGACCTGTCCATGGTGGACCCCGCTTCTCGCCCGTAGACAGCTGGAGATAGACACCAGCAGCCCTCGCCACCCCAGCAGGGATAAGCGTGACGGGAAATGGATGGATGGATTTCCATTATCATCCGTACCTCAGAGCCAGCTGCTAATTTGACATCTTTCCCAGGCAGAGATCTATTTGAAAATATTTGTTCCTTAAACCTACTCTGTTTCTGTGTTTGAGGTATTTTGACTCTAATGGTTGCTTGACCTTTAACTGGCTTCCTTCCTTGTTTTATCACTGGTCTAAGGGGCCCTCTGTTTTTATTTTTCTCCTCCTAACAGTCGGTCTTTGTCCTGATGTCCACCCGGCTCTGTTTCTGTCCTCTGTGCCGCTGCCCTGCTGAGATGTCACCAACTCCCGCTTTTCAACCATAACATACCAACTTTGTTTACTCAGCACTTTATAATGAACCGAGGTCCACAAAGCTCTGTCCAAATGCAAGAAAATAAGATTAAACGAGTTAAGAAAAAGAGTTAAACCTTTAGAGAGGATGTTTTTAAAAAATCTTCTTAAAATCAGAAAGAGAAGAGGCGTGTCCGGCATGTAAGGGCAGATCATTATTTTATTTTAAAGCAGCCACAGCAAAAACACTGTAGTTTGTTTTTTATATCTAGATCCTTAAAAGCACTCTGACAAAATGACACAAAGCAGCACAATAGTCTCTGATCTGAATTAATAGAGTTTCTTGAGGTTAAGTGAAAATAAGCCACAGATGCAGAGCTGAGAGTTAAACACAGATTTCTACTGGTAAAAATGAGGCTTAACCCGAAAGAATGAGAGAGTTTCTCCAGATTTAGGAACGTCCAGCTTCTAGTTTCCTTTTAAACGGTTTGTGGCTGCCATGTTTCGGTGTTTCTTTCTAAAAGCGTCTCCTCATAATCTGCTGTAAACCAGGTCAGGTTTATAGGCCACCTCTTCACATGTACCCCAACAGCTTCACCCCCAAATTACTCTGAAAGATCAGAGCTTTGTGTTGGCAGCTCCAGCTCACTGCATCTGTTTCTCCTAACTTCTAACTGATGTGGTTCTACGATTGAGGTCACTGTCAGTACGGAAACCTGAGCTTTCTGGCTGAAGAGCAGATTTCCTGCTTCAGCGTTAACACCAAATGTTCTTCCCTCGTGATGCCATTTATTTTTGTGGAAAAGGAATGAAAAACAGCTCCTCAGCATAATGCTGCCACCGCTGTGCTTTACTGTCTGAATGGTGCTAAATCCAGATAAGTAATTTTTTTCTTAAAATAAATGCATTTGTTCTTGGATTGAGGAGATAAAAGACACATTTTTCCAATGGAACAAGACAATTTTCACTTAAAATAAGAAAACATAATTGCATTGTCTTATACCAAGTGCATTTTATCTAATTATCTTATTTTAAAAGTAAAAATACTCTCTCCATTGGCAAACTATCTCATTTAACAACTCAAATTAAGGATAAATACTCTTAATTTAAGACATTTTTACTTATTTCAAGATTGTTTTTCCAATGCAGGTTAGCATCTTCTGCCTTTTGTCTCTAAATGGCTGAAAATGAAAAAACGGTTTAATTAAAATGATTTTCCAGGTTGACATAATTGTGGAAAATTAACTGGAAATCTTTAGTGTTTCCTGCATATGTCTGCTGTTGAGTTGGTCTAAATGTTGCATCCATCCATCTATATCGTTACAGGATCAATATTTAAAGGCCACTATAGTGTTTAGTTGTCATTTAATCTTTTTTTTTCTTATTAATTAAATGGTCCAAATCATTTAGACTTTAGTTATTTCTTCCACCTGAACCAGAGAACCAGATATACCGTTTGTCCCTCTTGCCTCCTGGCAGTCGTATGAGTTACTGCTTGCCGC